AGCATCAATAGCCACTCGGTCTTGTCGGGATTGGTGTAAACTTGTTCGTTCCCATCCAGACCCTAACAGCCTCCAGGCACTGGCACATCACTTCTACCGCTCCAATGAGTTGGCACGGGGCGGACAGATACAACTGTGTATCATCCGCATATTGATGATATTTAATCCCATGCCGACGTATGATCTCACCCAGCGGCTTCATGTAGATGTTGAATAGGAGTGGGGACAGGACCGAACCCTGTGGCACCCAATAACTGAGGCGCCTATGGGTCGATCTCTGCCCTCCAACCAACACCGAATGCGACCTGTCCGAGAGGTAGGAGGAGAACCACCGAAGAATGGTGCCTCCCACTACCAACCTCCCGCAACCATCACAGAAGGATACCATGGTCAATGGTATCGAAGGCCGCTGAGAGGTCAAGAAGCACCATGATAGGATTAGGATTAGGATTTATTTCATTTATATGCCGCCCTTTTCCAGGATAGAGGAGTGACCCCTATCCCTGGCTATCCAGAGATCATCGATCAGCGCGACCAAAGCGGTTTCCGTGCTGTAACCAGGCCTGAAACCGGACTGAAAGGGATCCAGATAATCAGTTTCATCCAAGGGCCATTGGAGTTGAAAGGCCACCACTTTCTCAACAACCTTCCCAACAAAGGGGAGATTGGAGACTGGACGATAGTTACTCAAAATGGCTGGATCCAGAGAAGGTTTCTTCAGGAGGGGTCTCACTACCGCATCCTTTAGGAGGTGCGAGAAGGACCCCTCCCTGAGAGAGGTGTTAACTATCGTCTGGATGCAGCCACGTGTCACTTCCCTGCTGGTCGAGACCAGCCAGGAGGGACACGGGTCCAGGGCAGAAGTGTCAAACTCGAGTTCATTGAGGGCTGCATCAGGGTTATGTTTGACCTCAGGGGGGCAGGTGAGGACATAGACAGGGTGAACGTTGCATGGCCAGCTCGATGTCGCTCATGTCAGAGACGCCTGTTGCAGCCTGAGTGCTTTACCAGAGAAAATGGGCTCCAGAGTTCCCTATTTGGCCGCTATGGCCTCCTGCAACCCTCTGCCAGTGAGCCAGCCCTTTGCTGTTTCCAGGGTGGCCCCATGGGCAACATCTAAACACCCCACAGGCCAGATCCAGCCTATGGGCAGGATTCAGCTTGCAGGCCTTAGGTTTGACACCCCTGGCATAGGATGATGCTGGACTTTGATTCCATTTAATTCCCAGTGAATCAAGTCAGAATTATAATCAAATAAATTAAGTATGACCAAATTTTCACATTGTATTAAATATTAGATGATCCAATACATTATTGTTATTATTACTTCTACTACTATCACTACTATCATCAATAGTAATAATATTCTGTTGCAATTATTGAGCGTACTGTGAACAGACTTGACCATGAAATGCCAATGACATCTACAGAATTCTCCTTACACAGAATTTAATGTAATTCTACAAATGTCTGTGAATTTTCACCATTACTCCAAAAACATACTTTATATACTGTCGCTTGTTGCAGTTCTTCTGGCACTACTAAATGCATGCATTCAATTGGGAAAGTAGACACTTTTCTGCTCATTTTGACCTTATTGTCCTTTTGTTTTTCAGTATTGGTTTTATGTCGTATCGGTTATAGGATGCTCATCAGGAAATAAATCTCTTTCTCAATCTTGTTTTGACAGTTTGAATATAAGAAAGGCTATGAACAAGGCAAAGGCAAACTGATTGGCTTCCAGAGCATTCATGATGACCCCAAATTAGTCCATTATAGGAATGTGGCCAAGATGCAGTCAGAGCGGGACTACAAGAAAGGTTATGAGCAAGGCAAGACTAAATACAACACTCCATTTGATATGGTGAACGTTGTAGCTGCTAAGAAAGCCCAAGAAATTATCAGCGACACCAATTACAGGAATCTCCTACACAATTATACATTATTGCCAGATGATATTAGTGTGGAGCGAGCGAAAAACATGATGCAGATTCAGAGTGATGTAAGTCTACTGAAACATTTGTGTTCAGATAAATGTAATTTGAAAAGAAGTTTTTTAAACTAATCAGTTCTTCTCTTCTCTCCCTCCCTCCCTCCCTCGCTCCCTCCCTCCCTTCTTTCTTTCTTTCTTTCTTTCTTTCTTTCTTTCTTTCTTTCTTTCTTTCTTTCTTCAGAATCTTTACAAGTCAGATTTTACTGGCTGGATGAAAGGCATTGGGTGGATCCCAATTGGTTCTCTTGAAGCGGAGAAATCTAGAAAAGCAGGAGAGGCTCTAAGTGAGAAGAAGTACAGACAGCATCCAGACACTATTAAATTTACAAGTATTGTGGATTCTCCCGTCATGGTCCAGGCTAAGCAGAATGCACTTCAGCTCAGTGATGTGAGTAAAGCTTTGGAAAGATAGGTGAAATGCTAAGTCTTATGGGGTCGGAGAGTCTTCTAAATCCAATGAATGAATGAAATTAAATAAATTGAACCTTGTATTTAATAATTATGCAAATGTGGCTAATAATAATTTTTCCCTGTTGTATTCTATTTATTTTCATCTTGCATGTTAGTATTTGCTTTATGAGGAATGTAAAAGAATGTCCTATTCAGGAAGGGTATGATTGTGCATGTGGGTTTCTTTTGTGTCATTGTTGACTCCTGGCAAATGCCTAGACTAGTCCCTACAAATTTATTGGAAAGTTTTCATTATTTTCTTTGTAAGGCTCAAAGACAATGACTGACCCATAGTCATCCAACTTTGTGCCTCCAATGGAACTAGAACTCCCAGCCTCTCAATTAATCACTACATCAAACTTTTTCTATCTCCCCCCCCCCCCAATACGCTATAGAGTTCACCATGTCTACAAAATATCTGCTCACAATACTAAGGGATTCAGAACTTATCTGCTCCTTCCACATTTTCAAAAACCACCTTCACATCACTATGTCAGAAAGTCTATGCATTCCTCCCTTGGCATGATAAAGTACCAGCCAAGTTGCTTGGATCACCAAAGGCTTATAATGTCAAACGAATCTACTGGAAAAAAATATACTAAAACAGAGTTCTGGTATTATCGATGGTACATTGTCTCCTGGAGATTTCATTGGTACCTGTTTTCATGATTTTTTGGAAAGTTCTGAAGATAAGGTTGTGTTCCAGATATAGGTTGGATCATTAGTTGGACCTGTGAAGATTTCATTCAATTTATGGCAGATAGGTTTTTTTTAACCCCAGTTGCCATTTGTTCTTTATGCTGTGTTATTATATTATGTTTGTAAATGTTTTTAGCACGATGGTAAGATGGTAAGATGAAGAAATGAATAAAGGATTCTAAGGATGTAATACCTGAAAATGTTCTTGTAGAAGAAAAAAAATACTGATTCTGCAGTCATTTGTATTGTCATTTTAAAAAAAATCAGTGTAACAGCTTTAGCAACATAATTAGGAAGCAAGATAAATATTCCAGAATTATTCCACTAAATTCAGTATTGCTGTGTTTAATTTTAATAGCTAAAGAATAGATTTGTATTCTATTAATAGTATTTTGAAATAATTTATTTGTAATTATTGAATAAGCTTTAAGAATAAGCATAGACTTAAGTGCTTGAGACTGAGATTGTAGCTTCTAATAGTAATAGCAGGAGTCATTTGTTTGAGATTGAAGGACGTTAGGTGTTTCCTCTTTAAAAGTTTAGTTTTCTTACATCAAGTTTTTCAGATATCTTTGTTCTGCTAGTGAACCTACCAGGATCTTGTGGGTTTTATAATGATCTGGAAGCTGTTGACTGATTAATTATAATTGTTATAATTATAATTGTTAATTGATTCAACTTAGCTACCTTATAGCAACATTTTTCATAATGACAAATAAGTACACATGGAAATGTAGTAACTGATTCTAAGGACAATTCTTAAAACCTGTTCCCATGGCCATACTTTTCTCCAATGGAAAAAAGTACAACTGTTTTCAGTGGTTCCTAAGTAAGTGTGCATAGGCAGTCTTATGCACTAAAGTAATATGTAAATCCAACTGTTGAGTTAAGGAACATCAGGATATATTATTGTCTTATTTCCTTGATTTTCAGATTTTATACAAATCCTCTGGGGAAGAAATGAAGCATACATATAATTTGCCTGCAGATGCCCCTCAGTTTATCCAGGCCAAATATAATGCAGCTAACATTAGTGATGTAAGTAACTATTCAAAGGCTGTGCATAATTTATACTATGGTAAATAATGCAGAGTTTTATCATAAATATTATTCTGATATTTCTAAAATCAAATAGGCAACATAATTTGGCATGTGATTATATCATTGTTTATCACTTGATGCTGTGCATGATATAAGTAATTTTCTTTTTTTTCCTATTGGGAGAAGGGAAATAAGAAATGGGTGTGTGTGTCAAACATTGACTGTCATATCAATAGATGTTCTGATGACATGACTAGCTATAGTTTGAAACCAGTTAGATCAAGTGTAATCCAGAAAAAGCTAAGTGAAGGTCAAAAAGTTCAGATAAATGCATTGTATGGACCAGGTGGGTTCCGGATCCTGTTGCAACCGGTACGGTTGCAATGGGGCCCGGCATCCACCACATGAATGCGCGCAGTGCATGCATGCATCCTTACCTCTTGGAACACCTCCGCGACGCTCCAGCTGCTCGGCGGAGCATTGCATAGGCGCTGTGCGGTCCGTGCGCGGAAGCGCCAAAGAGCTCAAATACAGGTAAGGAGCTTAGGGTGGAGCACCGTACCGGAACAGTACCCAGTGCTCCGGCCAGGCACCAGTATGCCCGTACCGGGGCATACCGCCTGCAACCCACCACTGGTATGGACTATTGGATTCTAAGTTAATCAACAGTAATGACTTAAAATGACTTGTTAAATCAGTAAGATATTCTTTATTTCAGAATTATTATAAATATGCCTATCAAGATCTCATAGCCAAAGGACCCAATGTACTAGGTGATTCCATTCCAATTACTCATGCCAAGGCCTCAAGAAACATTGCTAGTGATGTAAGTAATCCTTACTAAGTTCTCTTTATATGCTATCAGAATGATGAAAGTTGCTCTTCGCTTGCTATGTAAATGATTAAAATATTTTCTCACACATTACCTTCTCTGTTTTAGACCATTCTATCCTTACTGTAGGCTTAAAGATTTTTGTTGGTAAAATGTCTTGCCACTCTCCTTCTATTGCTTTAGCCTCCTTCTTCACTACTGAAGACAGGTGTGAACCTGTCATTGTTTCTTCTAGTAGAAATGCTTGGCTGCTTGTTCAAGAGCTAAAAATTACTGGGGGGGGGGGAATGGGAGCAGGTTATTGCACAACATAGATAGAATTAAATATTATGCCATATATTTTATTCCATTTCCAGCAGTTTGGAAATCTATATGTATTCTTTTGCACAGACTATAATAGTAATTTTCAGAAAATCACAATTTTCAGTTTCTTAGCCCAGCCTACAGGACTAGCAGTAATGCATGATTATAATCCAAGCATAATTATGCCTGTACACAGACATAATTTCACTTTTTCTACCATAGAAGGTTTTTTTTTTGAAGGAATCCTGTCATGTCCATCTCCATGATTCATCTAAAAATATTTTTCTTCATTACTAATATAAAAAGGAGTACTGAATTGCCAATTAGTCCAGACACTTTTCTTAGTTGCTTGTATACCAAGACTCACTATCCAGGCCTGACTACTCTCTCTCTTTGTCTCTCTGATGGAACTGTAGTACAAATACAAAGAAGCTTATGAAAAGACTAAAGGAAAACAGGTTGGTTTCCGAAACTTGCAAGACGCTCCTATGCTTGTCCATTCCATGAATGTGGCCAAGATGCAGTCTGGGCGTGAGTACAGGAAGGATTATGAGAAAAGCAAGACATGCTATCACACACCAGTGGAGATGTTCAGTATCCAAGCTGCCAAGCAGGCTCAGGATGTAGCCTCCAATGTCAACTACAAACACCTGATCCATCGCTATACCTACCTGCCAGATGCTATGAATGTGGAGCTGGCCAAGAACAGGATGCAAATTCAGAGTGATGTAAGTTCGGGCAATATTTAAAAGGTCACAGCATAGCATAGTTTAGCTAGCAAGCAAGGATATCTTTTTTCTAGGATCATTTCTAAGAATTCATTATTTTTAAAAATAATTATTTTTTTTAATCACAGGGTCAGATTAATCATTCTTAAAGATGCTCAAGTCATTAAAATGGCTTTTTGAGCTACCAAAGAAGGAAGGGGAGGGGTGGGAACATGACAGTTCCTTGAATTCTTAATTATTTCTAATTCCCAGGGGAACTACTGCTTAATTCTGCTAGGGAAATCTATTGCACTGATGATGCACCCCAGTTTTTCAGATAACTTCATCAGTGTGATAGATGGCTATTTTTTCTTAAAGCCACATTTGACAAAACAGTTGGGACTCTCATTTAAGGGGGAAGAGGATAGCAGTTGAGAATGTTAGAATCATTCATGTAAACTGTTCTTTGTTGGGAGTTAAAGCATTCTACGTCTGCAAATGATCAGCGAAGCAAGTTTATGAATTATAACAGAGATAAGATTTAATTGTAGGAAATTTACAAAAAGCAGTTGAGAATGTTAGAATCATTCATGTAAACTGCTCTTTGTTGGGAGTTAAAGCATTCTACATCTGCAAATGATCAGCGAAGCAAGTTTATGAATTATAACAGAGATAAGATTTAATTGCAGGAAATTTACAAAAAGGCAAATGCTTGGTATCTAGCTAGCTATATCTCTTCAAGAGGAGAATCATATCGCATGTGCCCTGTAACAAGTGTGCATGCATGTTCCTGGTAAGATGAAAGTGACATCAGATTAGCAAATAGATTAGCATTTCTTAGCTCTGTTAATTCTTTAATCTGTTAATTCTTAACTCTCTTTCTGCACTCTCCTGTACCCATATGGTCATCAGGTCATGGAGAGACTGAAGGTCTGGATTTACATCTCCAAAACTTCTCATTTGACCAAGCTTCCAACAAAATAAATTAGTACCATTCAGTGGTGGGAGTCAATTTTTTTTCTACAGGTTCTGTGAGCATGGATTGGTGGGTGTGGCTTGGTGGGCGTGGCAGGGGAAGGATACTCCCAAATCTCCATTCCCTCCTCACCCCACTAACCTGCTTTCCAGCTTCGTTGTCCTGTGCAGGGCAATAAAAGAAGGCCCAGCCGATCAGCTGGGACTTGGGAGGCAGTGAATAGATTGAGGTGGTGGGGCCAGCCAGAGGTGGCATTTGCCAGTTCTCCGAACTACTCAAAACTTTCGCTACTGGCTCGCCAGAACCAGTCAGAAATGGCCGAATACCACCGCTGGTACCATTCTGCATTTGAGAACTCACTTCCACTGTCAGCTTTATACTCTTTCTTTTTTTTGCTTCACTTGCCACTTTCCCCCTTAACTGAATGCCAAGTTGGAATTGATACACAAATTAATTAACTAATACCCTTTGTGCCAATTTTCACAGGAAAGGACACCTGAAAACCCATTTTGGGGTGTGAGTTGGAATTCATATATAAAGATAAATTGTTGCCTTGAGCATTACCCAAGAAATGATTGCATGAATTTCACTTTGTGTTCTCATTTCTCTTTCAAAACAGATGCTTTGTTCCTGTCTGATTGTGATGGATTTTGCTTGAATGTGTATACCCAATTCCATTTCAGTATTTTAGTGCTCAATAGATTTGCTTTCCAAACTTGCAGATAAATGGAATGCTAAATCGGATGCTAATGCTGGCTGAAAAACAATACTCATTTCCCCAAGAGCTTTTGTCTCAGTCTAAAAGAAATAAATGTTGTTTTATGATTAGGTGTATAGCTAGTATTTATGTAGAGTGACAAAAAACAAAAGAAGTCCATCTTGGAAGAAAGTTATGGAAATATTATCAGATAGCCAGAAAGTGCAGGATTTTGTCTCTCACTTTGCCTACCTATGTAGATCTTATGTTACAATAAGGACATTGAAACACTTAAGTTAGACCAGTGGTTCCCAACCTTTTTTTGGCCATGCCCCACCTAAGCATCTCTAAAATCCTGACCCCCCCCAATAATTCTTACTTTACTCAAAACTGAATTCTACTTACATGGAGGAAGCCTAAAAGGCCATTAACTTAGTTTAAACAAGGTTCAAATTGCCCCCCATTAAAAATCAAATTGCCCCCCTATGGGGCATGGCCCCACATTGGGAACCACTGACTTAGCCAATGTAAATGAATCCAGTTGGGGTGCCAATGCTTATCTTGGGAACTACTGTATGTACCTCTTAACCCTTTGAAAGGCTTTAACCATGCTTCCAGAGTTTTGAGTCTCCTTTTTGGTTTTCCTCAGATTGCTTACAAAGATGACTACAACAACTGGTTAAGAGGTGTGGGGTGGAGTCCCTTGGGCTCCCTGGATATGGAAAAAGTTAGAAAAGCTGGCGAGGCAATATCTGAATCTAAATATCGCCAGCACCCAGACAAACTCAAGTTTACAAGTTTGATGGATGCTATACCGATGGTTTTGGCTCAACAGAATACCAAACAGCTGAGTGATGTAAGTTCAACCCAAAGGACATCATTTCCTTCTTTTAAGTTATTGTCTTAAAAGTGCTGTGGAATTCTAAAATATTTATAAGCAGTCTTGGGCTGTTCAAAGTTTTGTGTTTTATCTAAGAAATTCCTGCAGAGGCTCTTCCATGAAACTTTCAAGCGTTTTGCAAATCCGCAGCAATACAGACCTAAATTGGATGTGCTCTGGGTACAAGTTTCCATTCTAAAGGAGGCTTTTTAATCCTTTATGAATTTTGGGAGTTACGGTCTAAATATACCTGGAAGATACTAGTTTGGGCAACATAATTTTAAATTAAAACTTGCACCTGCTGCATAAATTGTTTTCTTTCTTTCTTTCAGATAAACTATAAAATAGAAGGTGAGAAAGTGAAGCACAAGTATCATTTGGATCCAGATGTACCTGCATTTATTCAAGCAAAAGTCAATGCCTACAATATAAGTGATGTAAGTACTTGGCAATTTCTTTGTTGCCTAAATGAACACATAAACTGACCTTCATCTTTAGAAAACCAAAATTAGTGATTCATTTTATTCTTGGATTTTCCATTTCATTTTTTTAAAGCCACTTGTAGGAAAAAGACTAGGGTGGGTTTTGTTCATTAGAATCGATGTAAATTATCTTAATTCTTATTGTAACTCTCAAATAAAAAAACCACCTTTCATGTTAATATAAGAATATTCATGGATCTTCACTGCTAGAACTTAAACCAGAGGCTTTAAGAAAAGTAATTTCTTCTCTTTAAGAATTTCTACAAAGCAGATTGGAAGAAGCGGCTTGCTGAAGGCTGTGACCTGAAAGCAGATGCTATTCCTATTGTGGCTGCGAAAGCTTCACGTAACATTGCCAGTGATGTAAGTTAATCCTAATAAAATCTTTTAAGGGGCTTTCAAAAAAGTTAAACAGCAGGGTTTGGAAGAAAAGGTCTTGGGGAAGCACATAAAAAAAACACAACCAAGGGAGAATGTAGTTTTCTAGTTTGGAGTATAATAACTGAATGCAATTGTGACATTTTAAACAATACCAACAAGAAGAAGAATAGGAAAAAGGTGATAGCCAGAAAATAATCAAAGCAAGGTTAGGAATAAATACACAGCATTGAGATACTCTCTATCACAGGGTAGTTTAAGTTAACTTGATGCTATTCATTTTGCAATGGGTTAAACCTCTTTGTTTTGATTTTTCTCAGTACAAATACAAGGAATCCTATGAGAAAGAAAAAGGAAAGCAAATTGGCTTCCTTAGCCTGCAAGATGATCCTAAATTGGTCCATTATATGAAAGTGGCAAAACTACAATCAGAACGTGAATACAAGAAAGGCTATGAAAGCAGCAAAACTAGATATAATTTGCCTCTAGACCTGTTCAGTGTAGTGGCCGCTAAGAAAGCCCAAGAAGTTGTGACTGACACAAACTACAAGCAACCTCTGCACAATTACACTCTTCTTCCTGATGCCATGAGTATGGAATTGTCAAGAAACAGGATGCAGATTCAGAGTGATGTACGTAATTATTAACACTATTGTGCCTAAGATTATGGAGGCTAATTAATTGGTTGGAGAGAACAGGTTTTTAAAAATATAATTAATTCAAATTAGATACAGTTGATTAACTTGACATAAGAATGTGTTTATTCCCAGACAGATTCCAGTCTATTTACCGGAAGTTTAAAGTTTTCCAGATGGCCAAAATTAACTGTGGCAGAAACAGATTTTAATAAATTATAGAGACGTTTAATACTGCAAGAATGTGAAATACATCACATTCTCATTGGCAGTTCCCTTATGTAGACTTAGATAGTTGGATCCCAATTCATTGAGCTTCCACTGGACTGGAACTCTGCTGAAAAATGTCCTACCAGTAAAAGGGGAAAGAACTTTCGCCAGTTGTTTCATTGGCATCTCAGTATATCATCCTTCGATCTTTTCATCTACAGAGGGGAAGAAATCCTACATTTGGAAAAACTAGCAAAAGATCAATTTAAAAATGATGAAAAGGCTGCCACTGATGGATGTTTCAATATTTATACATGTTTTAATAGGTTCATGAATAAATATTAGAAATAAGTTTCAGAAGTCATAAACAGTGGCAATAGACTTCACTTTCAGAATAATGAATATATCCATTTGCAATGGTCTCCTTGAACTGGAGAGAAGATTTTCTCTGTGATTTTGGTTAAAAGCTACCATTTTGGTGTGCATTTTGATGGAATGAAGTCCATGCTACAAGTACAATTATTTTGGTATGTTATGAACACTAAAATAAGACAATTTGATTCATACCAAGTTATTTCTTCTTCCTGCTCTTCCACCCCCAGAATCTTTACAAAACTGACTTTAATAGCTGGCTGAAGGGATTAGGCTGGGTGCCAATTCAATCTCTGGGGGCGGAAAATGCAAAGAATGCCACTCAGATTCTCAGCGAAAAGAAATATCGTCAGCACCCAGACAAACTGAAGTATACCATTGACATGGATGCCATGGAACAGGTGTTGGCTAAACAAAATGCCCATACCATGGATAAGGTAAGGAAAAACAAAATCTCCTAGGAACACCATATTTTTCAGGGACAGATTTAGGGTTCAGAGACAATAGCCAAATGACCCAGTAAAGATGTGCTTCATTCTTACTAAATTTATTGGAAGTTCTATTGCTTCAATGGCTCATTGGTTTTAGTCATGGCTTATTGAATGAATAATTAGCTAATAATAAAAGAAACTAATTCTTCACACAGCACATATTCATCAGCTTGCTCTCATAAGGTGTGGTAATGAGCTCTATCTCTTGTAATTGTTCAAGATGACTAAATATCAAATTAAATTAGACATTACCTGCATGGAGAATGATTATGGCCTTTGAGTTTTGTGTTTTAATTTTCTTGAAAGTTCTGGATGAGGGTAAACTGGATTAAAAGGAGTTTTGATCCAAATCAGGGATAAATGGACTATGTGCACAAAACAAGAATCAGTATATACTTTTTAAGAACCATTGTAAAAAAACCAAGATGGAAAACAAGCCAAGCTTCTTGAAAGAAGAGCCTGCCTAATCCATTAATTACACTGAGAAATTTCTCTATAAATAGGGCTGTATCTTGATTTACTGTAGTAGCCAAAATTGTTTTGGATATGGCTTCTTTCTAATATTACTTGTTCTCATTTCCTGGGTTTTCTTTTGAGCTCAGACCTGCCTCTAGCAGCTTGGCAATGAATAAATTGGATAAAAGGTCAATTGAAAGGGGGGGAAAATCTTAATTCTTGTCATATTAATTGTACAAAACTGGATCCTCTAAGATACAGTAGGCAAATTACTAAAATAGATATATTAAAATAACCATATAGGAGAAAAGGACATGATTATTTGTTATAGTAAGTGGTAATATGACAGACACAATCTGCTGGAGCAATACCGGTACTGTCCATATTACATTTACTTAGAAATTCAACAAAAGGTTAGAGGTGAGTTATTTTTTTAAAAAAATCTAATATTTATATTCTGTTATTTTGAGTTGGTAAAGCCCCTATGTGAAATCAAGAAATTAAGCATTTAATTAATATTTAATTGTTTTTTAAAAAAAGAAAATACTGCATATTTCTAGTTTAGAAAGGAAAAGCAATGATAAAACATTTTATTGTTAGAGATTTAGTTTTATTTTGCCTTGTGAGGGGGTGTGTCTTAGTGGCACAGAACGTGCAAGGAAATAAACTGGCCACATGCAACAATGTGATTTGTTTAAACTTTTTATTTTAACTGCAGAGGCTGTATACAGAAAAATGGAACAAAGACAAGACTGACATCCATGTAATGCCTGATACACCAGAAATACTCCTGTCCAGAGCCAACCAAATCACCATGAGTGATGTAAGCTAAGTATAGGACTGGACTTAGATATCAGTACATTAATATGGGTCATATTTTTGGCTTAATTCTGAAAGTATCTATCCATCATTCTATTTTTTCCTTGGAAAAAAACATTCTAAACATTTGCCTGTGTTTTCTTCCTCTTTATGGAACAGAAAATATATAGGTCTGGCTGGGAAGAGGAGAAGAAGAAAGGGTATGATCTACGAGCAGATGCTCTGTCCATAAAAGCAGCTAAAGCTTCCAGGGATATTGCAAGTGATGTAAGTTTAATTTTTACATTGCCTTATTATTGGAAAATGTATTTTGTTTCTTAGTCTGACCATTTCATTTGCTCCCTGATTCTCTACATGTATACCAGTAGTGAAATTCATTTTTTTTACTACTGGTTCTATGGGTGTGGCATGGTGGGCGTGGCAGGGTAAGGATACTGCAAAATCCCCATTGCCTTCTCACTCCTGGAGGAAGGCTATTGCAAAATCTTCACTCTGGGGCCAGCCAGAGGTGGTATTTGCTGGTTTTCTGAACTACTCAAAATTTCCTCTACCGGTTTTCCAGAGCCTGTCAGAACCTGCTGAATTTCACCCCTGATGTATACAACCATATTGGTCTGAATTATTTATGTTGCCTGAAGCATGAATTTGTTCTGGCAAATCTATGGAATTTGTTTCCTAATTTTTTTAAGGGCTTCATAGGTTTTGTGGATACCTTGTTACTTTCTCAAACATGCTCCTGAGGGAATATATTTAGTATATTTTATTTAGCAATAGCAATAGCAATAGCAGTAGACTTATATACCGCTTCATAGGCCTTTCAGGCCTCTCTAAGCGGTTTACAGAGAGTCAGCATATTGCCCCCAACAATCTGGGTCCTCATTTTACCCACCTCGGAAGGATGGAAGGCTGAGTCAACCCTGAGCCGGTGAGATTTGAACCGCTGACCTGCTGATCTAGCAGTAGCCTGCAGTGCTGCATTTAACCACTGCGCCACCTTGGTTCATTTATCATCTATCATGTGTCTCTCTCCCCTCCCTCCCTCCCTCCCTCTCTCTCCCTCCCTCTCTCCATCTCTCTCTCTCCTTCACTCCTCCCCCCCTCTAGACCAGGGAAGTGTCTTTCTATACTTGCCAGTAAACAATTATATCCCAGTACAGTTCTTGGTTGATTGCTTCATTAACTCTGTCCTTGTCAACAAGCCTTTTATGATCTCTAGGGAATTTACCAGAGGGAAATATTGAAAGATAATTGGTACAAACTTCTGTCTTGCTAGTGAATAAAAACAGCATTTACTCCACCCCTCCCCCAAATATTAGGCTACAATTTAACCCATGAGTTAGATTGTAGCTTAATCAATATTATTCATTTGAAAGGGCTGAATGGCATTTAATTCTATTAATAAGTGTTAATGAGTGCTATATTACACCAAACGTATGGTGACTTAGGTGATTTCCAGATGGCAATGGAGATCTGCTTATATTTAATTTGGGTGTCCACCAGGTGTGCAGTCATCCAGGTGTGGTGGCTGGATGTTGAGAGTGGATAAAGGAGTCGCTGTATAAGTTGTGTGATCATTAATCACCATTATAAGCTTATAAAACTGTTGTCTTTTACTCTATTTACATGGGGCAATGGTTTGTTATGCAAAACTGGGCCAGGTGGAATGCAGGTAAGCACTGTTTGGCTATCTGTGTTCATCTATTACCAAGAAGAGCAAATTCTGATTGGGTGTTTGCTTTTGGTTTGGCTGGTTGAAAAAAAAGCAAATATTTCTGTGCCTGTAACATTCTGGTATTTTTACAGATCCAGAAATACTTAGAAAAGCCCAAGCAATTCCTGCTGAATTGTAATTGAAAAATCAGAAGTTTTGGGTGATGGGAAATGTTACATATATTAACATTTTATATACTCTATATAGTAACATATATCAAATTCTTTATCACTCACTGTCAATGAATAAAGTAACTAAATATCCTTTCATATATGTATATGTGTGTATGTCTGTGTGTTTTTTTGTTATTCTGTATGGCTTATAGTACAAATACAAATTGGCCTTTGAACAATTGAAAGGAAAGCAGATCGGCTTCCGTAACGTAAAAGATGACCCTAAGCTTGTGCACTATATGGAAGTTGCCAAGATGCAATCAGAGCGTGAATACAAAAAGGACTATGAAAAATCAAAGACTCGGTTCCACACTCCTGTCAACATGTTCAGTGTTGTGGCAGCCAAGAAGGCACAGGAAGTGGCCACTGATATCAACTACCGGAATATTATCCACACTTACAGCGCTTTGCCTGATTCTATGAACCTTGAATTGGCCAAAAATATGATGCAGATCCAGAGTAACGTAAGGATTTTTTAAAATAACTGTTTGAATGACAAAGTTAGAGAATTGAAGTCTTTAAACTCTGTCTTACTTTGCAATTGGGAGAGACCATGAGGAAGATATATCAGAATTGTTTTTTCACTGCAAATGGCACTTAGTTTTTCCCCTAAGAATCAGGACATAGAAAATATGCAATGTGCTGCTATCAAACTTCCATTTACATGATGGAAATAGCCAAAGCTCTTCTTCCCTCTGCAAATTTAGAGAAGAAGGTTTACTGGGAAGTAGATTGGCACTATAGAAAACATTATTAATTTATTAATTTGATGTATAGGCCATCTTATGGAGCAGCTGTTTATATCAAATGTTAGAGTGGTAGTCATAGTTTAGCATAGGCTAAGCCATGGTCTCTACCTCTAGCTCATTGGGCAAATTTATGTGACTGTTCCAAATTCAGCTGGTGTATGCCAGTTCTCTCTCACAATATTGCTATGGAGAAAAATTCAAAGAGGAAGTCCTGCTACTTTGTATGCTACTTTGAATTCCAACAATAAATTTGGTGTATCAAACTAATAACTAATTATAAAACTGTAATGGAGATAGCATGCAAAATCACAGGATAAAATAATATACAGACATGCTTAATGTGCCATGTGTGTAGTTTTACAACAAAGAAACAATGCTGTGACATTGATATGTTTATTTTTCATTTGTGTGTTGAAAAATGCTTGCTTTTTGGTCATTTTAAATGTTATTTATAATCCAGGATGCACACTAAACTACGCTCAAAAGATCAATCAATTTTTTAAAATATAGAAAGTTGTTTTTCCAAGCATTTTATATAAACTTTCCTTTAATTTTGTTTTCCAGAATCAGTACAAAGCAGACTATGATGAATTCATGAAAGGGATTGGATGGATACCGCTAGGATCTCTAGAAGCTGAAAAGAATAGGAAAGCCATGGACATTGTCAGTGAAAAGAAATACAGACAACATCCAGACAAATTGAAATATTCTATTCTAATGGATTCTATGCCAATGGTTCTGGCGACAAGTAATGCAAAAATAATGGATGATGTAAGCCAAGGAGTATTTATTTATCTACTTGCTTACTTATATTTTTCAATCATCAAAGAATTAATATAAAATTAAATTTCATTATGGTATTGGTTTTATTATGGTGTGGTTTCTTTTAACTGTGTTTAGGTTTATTTCAAAGTTATTTTTCAATGATACATGTTCCCTTCATTCTATTTTAGCACCTTTACAAAAAGGACTGGGAAGCAGAAAAGACAAAGATTCATATCACGTCAGATATTCCTGAGATTCTTTTGGCAAAAGTCAATGCGTATAACATCAGTAATGTAAGTTTGCAGGTTGATTAACCTCAAAAGGGATATTTTGCTAAGTGCCAGTATTAGTGAATCAGCAAAACTACATTACATTATTTGTCAAACAAGATAAAGTAGACACATTACTTAGCAGAACAGCTAGCCTTTGAATCAAATCCTGCAGTATTATTCATTGAAAACTCCAAGTAGCAGAATTATTTGTTTGTGTAACTATTCCACACCTAACCTTTCTAAATAATTATTCTCAAATTATGAACACAAAATCAAGAATACCAACACACCAAGTCAATAAAGAAAGGGGAAAATACAACTTAAAGAAGAAGAAAAATTGAAATCATTATTCACCAGAATTTGAATAGAAACTTGAGAATCATCTTGGCACTGTATTAAAAACGCTTGTGAAAGCTTTTCAAAGCTAGCATTCATTTACTGAAATGTTGCTTTGCTGGATATGTGTAATTAAAATAGATATTTTTCTACCCAGACACCATAGTGCCCTGGGGATCTTTGGCAATAGTTTTGCATCCTATTCTGATTTACTCTCTTCCTTAGCTGTCTTTGCACAAAGGGAGCCAAAAAAAAGACCTTCCAGACCACCTATTGGTGGTGTGATTGTTGAAGGAAATGGCATTCCTGCCCCACTGGAATACCTGGGAAATGGAGAGGGAATTGTGGTCAGATATCTTAGCATTTCAAGTACAGGAAGAAGAGAAAAATCTCAGGATCCTTTAAGCAGAGTTTCAATGTAAAACTGCCTCTCTGTAGAGTTCCAGTAGAATTGCTGTAAAGCTGCCATTGCTCTTTTGGATGCTAAGAATAGCTACGTATCTTAATTAACCAAGTCAATAGCATCATATGGATCTGGGACATGGCACTGATTGCAGATGGTGTGTCTTGTTTGTAAAATGGGCCCTAGTGTAGGTTTGCAATCTGGCATTGATCAACATATAAATTAACAGAACTGACTTTAAGGTCTACGTCTTGTGCCTTTTGAAAGATTCAGGATGGCCCTTAGAACAATGTATCATAACTTTTAACTGGCAAAATCACTACATCACGGGTGTCAAACTCACCGTGTCACATTGCCATCACGTGACATTTTGGGATGTTTTTACCATTCACAGAGCTGAGGTAGGTGTGGCCTGCATATGATGCATCTGGCCTGCAGGCCTCCAGTTTGACACCCCTGCCGTACATTAGCAACAGCACTTAGACTTATATACTGTTTCACAGTGCTTTTACAGCCCTCTCTAAGCAGTTTACAGAGTCAGCATATTGCCCCCAACAATCTGGGTCCTCATTTTATACACCTCGGAAGGATGGCTTAACCTTGAGCCGGTGAGATTTTAACTGCTGAACTGAACATTAATTTAAATGTGCTTGTGTGTTAATTCTATTAAATCTATGAAAACAAATTCTATTAAATCAAATCTACTTTTTTTTCTGGATCTCCCTAATTTTTCCAGGATACTCAGAAACAATCATACCCTATAAAGCATTAATTTTCTGTCTCTGTATTGAGTATATTTTTAAAAATAGTTTCCTTTCTTTTTCCACATAGAAAATATATAAACATTCTATGGAAGAAGCTAAGCAGAAAGGCTATGATCTCAGAAGTGATGCAATCCCTATTAAAGCTGCTAAAGCTTCTCGGGAGATTGCCAGTGATGTAAGTTTACAGTCGATGTTGTTGGCTTTTTTTCTCCTGCTGAAGAAATATTACAGAAGGCCCCTGTGAACAAAAAGGCACATTTGGAACCAATTTTACCATATTTAATGATCTTTCAATCTGTACCTACATTCAAGGGTGAAATCCATTTACCTTTGCTACCAGTTCAGTAGCAATGTGATCGTGCTTCACATGTACCACCTCTGCGCATGTGCAGGACCTTCTGTGCATGCGCAGAGTGTCAAAATGATGTCTGGGTGGGTGGGCGGAGCCTGCTACTTAGCCCGCCTGCAAAGGTAAGCGAACAGCAAGGGGAGGAGAATCCGCTGTGCCTTGCAATTTAGATATAAATCGTGCAACACAACTGATCATCAGAAAAACCGTTTCGCCTGAACCAGTAGCACTTTTTACCACCAGTTTGGGTGAAGAGCTGACATCTTTACTACTGGTTCAGGTGAACCGGTCCAAACTGGTAGCATTTCACCCCTGCCTATATTCACTTCATTTTATTAATGTATGATAAAGTTACAATTCCGTATTGACTATCTCGAGCTTACATTTCACTTTCTGTTTTCTCTGCAGTACAAATATAAATTAGGTTATGAACAGGACAAGGGTAAGCTTGTTGGCTTCCGCAGCCTCCAAGATGACCCCAAGCTTGTTCATTTCATGCAAGTGGCCAAGATGCAGTCAGATCGCGAGTACAAGAAAGCCTATGAAAGCAGCAAAACAAGATACAACACGCCTGCTGATACCATCAGCATTTTGGCTGCCAAAGAAGCACAAGGCAATATTACCAATATCAATTACAAAAGGCTCATCCATAAATATATCCTTCTGCCGGATGCCATAAATGTAGAACTGGCCAGAAACATGAATCGGATTCAAAGTGATGTAAGATCTTGCAATCTCTCTCTCTCTCTCTTTTTTTACTATTAGTTGAAGGATCCTTTTTATATGTTTGTTTACCTTTGGGGGAAATGGGCAGTTCAAAAATGTGAAAAATTAATAAAAATGCTTTAGCAAACAATATTTTATAATAAATGGATTTAATATTTATAAATAAACAGATTATTTGCAATATTCAGCTAGAATTGTCATAGGTTAGAAATTTCTTGAGCTAATAAGGATCAGAATTATACTTCTTCCCCACATACTATATTCATATTACTAAATGAATAACTTGCTAAATTACCAAATACATTTTAGTATTAAAATGCATAATTACTGTATAGAGAAGATGTAAGCTATCATCAACACATTATAACAGTTTGGGTTCAACTCCACCCACTGAAAAATGTGTTCCATTTTTAATAGCAGTACTGTACCAATATTAAATGGAAAACAAAGTGAGACAAAGGACATTCTTGTTAAGTTCGGCAAGATGTGTTGCTAGATGAAGAGATCATTTCATCTGTAATATCCTTAGCAAAAAAGAACAGTGTACCACATATTGATCCACAATTTGTGACTACATAATCCACACTATGTGATCCCATAAAAAAGGAGGAAATCTATAATTAGCCAACACTTTTTACAAACTTTCCCATTTGATTAATTGACTATGTGCCATCAAGTCATTTTTGACCACTAGTAACCACATAGATTTTCTCCATGACAATCTACTCCTAACCTGTTCTTTCAAGTTTTCCAATGTTGCAGCATTGCCGCTAGGCCCATCTACCATGTTGCTGGTCATCCTCTTCCTTCCTTTCCTTACACTTTCCCCAGCATTACAGCTTTCTCCAGAGCGGGGATGTCAAACTCAAGGCCCGCAGGCCAAATCTGCCTTGCGGGGTGCTTAGATCTGGCCCGTGGGGCTGCCCTGGAAACAGCAAAGGACTGGCCTGCAGTGCCTCTGCCAGTGAAAATGGAACTTGGGGGGTGCACACAGACCCCCAAGCCCCATTTTCACTAACAGAGGGCAGCAGGAAGCCATTGTGGTTGAAAACAGAGTTCGTGAGTCTGTTTTTGCTGGGAGAGTGCTTGGGCCACCACAGATGCCCTCAACACGAATGACATCAAGCTGGCCATGCTCACCCTGGGCACAGCCTCCCTGGCCCCCCAAGGTCAAACCCAACCCTGTTTGACACTACTCTATAGATTCTTTACATAAATTAGTTAATAGTTAAAAATCCAGTGAGACTACTGCTGCAGATTTTAGTTTTTTTTTTTAATGTTAGTAATCTAATAATATACTTTGTCAACTGTGTATAAAATGATATTGTGCAAGATGAATGATTGAATTCCAACTGCATTCTATGTACCAGGGTCTATGGGTCCAAGGCAGTAGTTTTGCATCAAAATAGAACAAGTAAATTTAACAGTAGAACTGCACAATCAGCAGGTAGTCACCAGCCTATGGACCCTTCAAAATCATAGTTATATAACTCACAGAGTTATTCAAAATCATAGTTATATAACTTACAGAGAAGGGAGGGAAAGTTTTTTAAAAGGCATTATTGTATAGATTGGCAATGTTTGTTTATCTGTGTCAGAAGCATACCAGTTGAAATAAGGCATACTGTCTGACATAAAGTTTAAAATATAAAATGCAATATTAAAATATGTACATGTTAAACAGATCGTGCCCCAAAACTAGCAACATTAATTGTGCTGCCATAAGGTCCTCAAGTGTGCACTGATCAGGATAATCTGCGATGATATTGAGACAAATTATTCAGTACATGTCTTATACCACTCAGTGGAATAATTATCTGGACTAGATGTGTTTTCTGGTTTCATAGATATAATACAACTATAATTTCTTGGAAAGTTGAAGTTGCAGCTTAAATAAATGTACTTTTGGGAACATCTATACCATGTACAAATGTATTAAATGCTTTCTCAATGGCATGATACAATTGAGAAAAAAAATTAAAATCTGCTAATTTATAGAGTTAAAATTATTACTGGAGTATTCTTAAAAAATCTTATGAGACACTGCTGTTCAGTACTTTAGAAAGAACATACTTGTTTTTTAATTAAATAATAAACCAAGCTTTTTTTTTTACAATTTTGAAATGCTTATTAATTAAATAATAAAGCAAACAAAAGACAAGAGGATTATCTCTTACTCAAGAGTGACTGAAATTGTAATTCATTGAGTCCTCATTTAATCATAGATTGCTTCTTTTTTATATGCCCATAGGGAGGTGTTATATTATTATAGTTAAGAGCTGTGCAACTACAGATATGTTTTATTCTCTGCCTACAGCATGAATATAAGCAAGATTATAATGAGTGGTATAAAGGTCTTGGTTGGAGCCCTGCTGGGTCATTGGATATTGAGAAGTCCAAGAAAGCCACTGAGATTGCTAGTGACATCAAATATCGCCAGCACCCAAGTGTTTTCCCATTTAAGAAGCTGACTGATTCAATGGATATGGAACTTGCCAAGCACAATGCTGATGTTATGAATAAGGTGACTGTTTCCATTCTGAGTGCAAATGATGGCATATGCCACACCCCACCTTACTCCTCTGGTTGGCATTACTTAAGCAAAAGAGCCTCAGCAGATTGTAAATATATGTTATGAGTGGTAGAGATTTTGTAAAAACCACTGAACAATTCCTAGTAGATTTTTATTTTATAGGATATAATTATTTGTTAGCTGATTTCTCTGCTTACTGGCATCTTTAGTGCTACTGTTAGCAGTATGCAATATTTTGGAATTAATGTTGTCATTCTCACTTGTTACTTAAAGGGGTCTTGTGTGTCCCTAAAAGGGTTTATGCAGATGAAATTCGTAAGGTGTTGTATAGAAAAAAAGCTAACTTATGGCCAGAAGGTCATCCCAAGCACATTATTAAATATATGTCATCTAGAACATATACATATATTTCCTTTGCAGAGTATCTGCACACACTTTCAATTTTATATTAAAATCAAACTCAGCATATGTTTAATACAGATGTCCACATACCAACATTATTGCCTATGGATGCATTTATTGATCTTTATTGTTTTCTTCTCTAATAGCGTGCATACATAAATGCATGGGAGAAAGATAAGACAACGATTCATGTCATGCCAGATACACCAGACATTATGCTGGCTAAAGCAAATAGGTTTAATTACAGCCAGGTAAGAAAATATTAAAACTTGTGTTTAAGTAACTAGTCTTCATCATGTTGATAATATTCTCCCGAATGAAATGATTCCTTTGTATGTTCATTTTTGGCATTGCTGTTTCTTGAAACTCTGAGACTATTCGTGGAAATTCAACTTTTGTTTCATTCAATTTTCTTCCAAGAAATAATAAGAATATCATGTCTATAAAGTCCTCTGATTCTGTACCAGCTGGGCCTAGTCCATTATGGAGCATGAAGAATATATAAAATGCTGAATGTATAACCTCACTATTATAAATCTAAACTGATCGACCTACAACTAGATAAATCTGAAATTTTCTAGAGCCAAATTTATACTTCCTAGCTGATTTTAACAGTTCTGAATATTTAACGCATTTGCCATATGTCATGCATTGATTCCTTCCTGACATTGTCATAAACTACTCTTATTCCTCAGAAATCTCTTCAGTAATCTCTCTCCCTTTTAATTACTAGGAAGTTGATTTCAATTTGTGGCATTTGTTTGAAATGAAATTTGAAGGAAATCAAAAGATTTCTTGTGAGGCACACACATATGAAAGAGAAAAAAAACTAAGAATTATGCTCATGTTATTAAACATTAGCAAGGCTTTCACAACTACTGTGATAACAGAATGCTGGACTAGACAAATCTAAAGGAAGTCAAATTACTTTGTTCAAATTTGAAGTATGTTTCTCAAACAACAGACAATATTTGAGGAAAGCTAAGGTATTATTAGGCAGGTTTCTTAGGGATTCCAGTAACAAGATTCCATGAGGAAACCTGGAACATATATGGGATGTGTTTCAATTGTAGGAGTGGATTGTGAATGTTTAATTTATTCAAATTGCTTTCCTTCTTTTTAATCTATGCTACTTTTTCATGCTAGAAACTGTACAAACTTGGATGGGAAGAAATGTTGAAGAAGGGTTATGATCTCACTACTGAAGCCATATCAGTGAAAGCAGCTAAAGCATCAAGAGACATTGCTAGTGATGTAAGTTATCTTGTAAATTCTCTCTGCTATCATACCTTAGGCTATGACTCTTTTTGATGTCAGGGTTTATCAATTTCCACATACATATATGTAAGCTCAACAATCCATATTATATACAGACATCTGCAAACTGGATAAAAATTAAATCAGGCATATTAGTCCTGCCCACTAAGTAAGAAACCTGTATTTCTCTCATGTGGGTCCTTGAACTGTATTTTCCATTATGTCGCAGAAACACAGACTTTATTAATGTGCCCCGGGGTCTTAACCAAACATATTTATATTTAATTTCAAGGCAGGGGTAGATGAACCTTGTTTTCAGGGAGGAGGGAAATGTTTGCACTAAAAAAATTTAAGCTATGTCCAGATCATTTTTTCACAATAGAATAGAATAGAATAGAATTCTTTATTGCCAAGTGTGATTGGACACATAAGGAATTTGTCTTTGGTGCATATGCTCTCAGTGTACATAAAAAGGCCTGAAAAGATGCATTCGTCAAGAATCATAAGATACAACACTTAATGATAGTCATAAGGTACAAATAAGCAATCAGGAAACAATCAATATCAATATAAATCATAAGGATACAAGCAACAAAGTTACAGTCATGTAAATCATACATAAATCTGTAGAAACTTACTATGCAACCATGGTGAAAATGTTAAGATACCCTTCTAAATCTGATACCCAACAAAGCTGGGTCTACAAATTATTCCTGAGGTTGACTTTTCTCAACCTTTCTTTTTTTAAAATTTTAGTACAAGTACAAAGACGGCTATCGCAAGCAACTCGGCCATCATATTGGAGCTCGTAGTATAGAAGACGATCCCAAAATGTTGCATTCTATAAATGTGGCCAAGATGCAGAGTGAGAGGGAATACAAGAAAGTTTTTGAGAAATTGAAGACCAAGTATAGCACTCCTGTGGATATGCTGTCAGTCTTGGGGGCAAAGAATTGCCAGAAGTTGGTCAGTGATATCGATTACCGTAATTATTTGCACCAGTGGACATGCCTCCCAGACCAAAATGATGTCATCCATGCCAAGAAGACCTATGAACTACAGAGTGATGTAAGCCACATACTTCAACCACTTCGCTTGATAAAACTATATTGACTATGTAGGCTGGATGTCTTTCCCTGTCTATTATTTATCCAATTACCAATTAATGATCCTGCTTGCATTGTTTGCCTTCCTTACTGAGATTTGAAAATGCATGTTTTATTTTCTTATTACTCTTCTGTACTCTCTGTTTTTGTAATTTATAGTAATTGCAGACTACCCAACTTACATTTCCCTCTTCCTTTATTAACTTGGTAAGGTTTTTAATGTCCTGAACTTCTCCTTTCCTCTCATTAAACTAAAACTTGCAAAGGATTTTTTATAAAAAAACATCTAATATTGTCTTTCTCTTCTCAACCATTGCTCTCAGTGTTTAAATCTGGAAAAATATGAAAGAAAATTATACAGAGATGACATTTAGAAGAAAATATGTGGCAACTGTTAGTAAAATATGAGCCTAGTACAGGAAAGCAAGAACGTATAAAAACACACACACCAGGATATACTAAAGAGAATCAAAATTGGACTATGAGGGAGGAAAGAGGAAACAATGTCTGGTTTTCAATATTCTGTTATTATACCCTTATATTATAATGGAGAGTTCTTGTATTTCTTGTGAGGTTTGGCTTGATATGAAATTATGTTTCTAACCTTACATCCTACTTTGCATGTTTATTTATAACCCCCCAAGATATTAGAGTCCTAAATCAAAGAGGCATCATTGGACGAGAAAGAAATATGTACAAAATTCTAGAGCAGTAAGCAGTGATGGGTTGCACATTTTCTTAGCATTGGTTCGCTGCAAGTGTGCCTGCCCATTTCGCACACATGCATGAAGTGGGCACACATGTGCCTTCCATGCATCAAACCGGCCTTCTGCACAGGCACTTTGCTAGTGCGTGTGCCTTCCTCACATGCGCCCGGCCTCAAAAATGTGCCTAAATAGAACAGCATGCAACTGGAGTGGGTGGGTAGGGAGGACCCACCCGTGATTTCCACTACTGGTTTGGGTGGATCAGTACGAACCAGCTGAATACCACCTCTGGCAGTAAGTAAAAAACAAAACACCTTCAGAGATTTTGTAACATAGAATGATGGCTTCTTTTTTCCCCTGCCAGATTGCATATAAATCTGATCTCGAATGGCTTAAAGGCATTGGATGGAATGCATTAGGATCACTCGAGTCGGAAAAGAACAAGAAAGCTTCTGAGATTCTAAGTGAAAGAACTTATCGTCAGCATCCAGACACAATTAAATTCACAAGCATCCCTGATTCAATGGAAGTTGTTCTGGCAAAAGAAAACTCAAAACATAGAAGTGATGTGAGTGTTTCTCAATTTGAGGGGTTTTGCTGTTTGGGGAAACAGGCAACAGCATTAAAAATAACTTGAAATTGGGAGGGGGAGAAAAAGCAATAGATTCTGAAGCATAATGTAGTATTCCTTAACCTATATTTCTTCAAAAGTAAGTTACACTCAAACTCAAGATCATTTAGAAATTTGTTTTTAGGATTGTAGCTCTCTTTAATAAATTGCAGTTAAGATCCCCTGATCAATAGAACTTGCTTCCAAGTAAATAAGAATAAAATTTTATGATGGTAAATATATTTTAAAAATAAAATTTAGTGTAAGAAGAATGAAGTTGCTCAGTGGATTTAGGCAGAAAAATGTTTTTTTTGTAAGTTTGATTTCAGTTTTTTTCTAAAAATTAATATAAATGAGCATCCTTGAGGATATAAAGAACTTTACTTAATTTAAAGATGAAACAAAAGAACCTCTTTTGCATAACTATTCCACTTTGTAGATAGGTTATGAAGAAAGAATCTTCTAGCAGCATTTTCATAACTATTTCTTCTGCATGCTCAGAACAACTCACAATGTTTTGCATTATTTGAGTACATATTTTACTGTGCTGTGAAAGATCATATTCACTGGTGGGTTCCGGATCCTGTTCCAACCAGTACGGTTGGAATGGGCCCGGCAGCGTCCACATGGACACGCACAGTGCGTGTGCAGCATGCACGTGTGTTTTTTAACACCTCCACAAGCCTCCGCAATGCTCCAGCTTCTCAGCAGAACATCGCGTAGGTGCTGTACGCGTGGTGTGTGTTTGAAGCACAGAAGACTTAAAAGACCGGTAAGGAGCTCAGGCGAGCGGGTGGGCCCTCTGGAGCACCATACCGGAACGGTATCCGGTGCTTCAGGTAGGCTCCAGTACGCACGTACCAGGGCTTACCACCTTCAACCCACCACTGGTCATATTGTATATAATTATTTTTATCATTGAAACATAGTGATTCAGTCTTTGTTTTTCATTTCTAGAGACTTTATCGAGAAGCTTGGGACAAAGATAAGACTCAGATTCATATCATGCCTGACACTCCTGAGATTATGTTGTCCAGAATCAACTTAGTTAACTTGAGTAATGTAAGTTTGATACTGGTTTGATTACAGAATCAAACATTTCTAGAGGATTGCTTTCCTAACTTTCATTGGCTCTCTTCTTAGAAACTCTACAAATTAGGATTGGAAGAATTGACAAGGAAAGGCTATGATCTTCCACTTGATGCCATATCAATCAAGGCAGCAAAAGCATCTAGAGAAATTGCCAGTGAAGTAAGGAACTCTGTTTATCGATTTTAAGGAAAAATGGCATGCAGTGTTTTGTTAAATTTTCCTCTTATTTGAAATCTGAGGAAGGGTAAACTGAGGCCCTAGCATACTTTTCAAAGGCCTCTGAAAGCAGTCCATTCACTGCTAAGGATTTAGAGTCTGGTTCTTGATGGAGAGGTAAATGAGTGTCTTGGATGTCATAACTGGTCTTTGATTTCCACAGGGGCTTTGTTTCAGTGTTCTCTCCCACTGGCATGATGGTCCCAATCTGTGGTTTATATGTATGAGCACCAGATGTGGGTTGCTCCCGGTTTGGTTGAACTGGTAGTGGTAGTGGTGCGCAGAAGCATTATGCGTGTGTGTGCGCACGAGCATGAGCGAACTGGTAGTAAACCAGTTAGCAACCCACCTCTGATGACCCTCACATACAGCCCCCCCACTTTTTAATATAATCTAATTTATCAATTAAATTGAAATTTTTCAATAGAGAGTTAGAATAACAGAGTTGGAAGGGATCTTAGAGGTCTTCTAGTCCAACCCCCTGCTTAGGCAGGAAACCCTACACCACTTCTGATAACTTTAGATAACCACACATGGTTATCCAACATCTTCCTAAAAACTTCTAGTGTTGGAGCATTCACAACTTCTGGAGGCAAGTTGCTCCACTGATTAATTGTTCTAACTGTCAGGAAATTTCTCATCAGTTCTAAGTTGCTTCTCGCATTGATTAGTTTCCACCCATTGCTTCTTGCTCTACCCTGAGGTGCTTTGGATAACAGTTTGACTCCCTCTTCTTTGTGGCGGCCCCTGAGATTTCGGATATATGCCGATATAAACTATGATCATTATCTTCCATTTACATAAAATAATTTAAGATAGCATTTTAATTAAAGGTATTAAATTTAAATTTAAAGGTATTAAATTTCCTTCTGGACCAACCATTTTCAGTTCTGAATGCTCATTTGATTAGTGAAAATAAAAAGGTGATTTTTAACCCTTTTGAAAATCATAAGGAGGGAATTCTAAATCCCTCTCTTATAACTTAATACTGCCTCAAATCATTCTTCACTTAAAAGACAAATATTTGTGATAGGCAACTATCTAACTTGAATAACAAATAAGTGAACAAACAAATGAATAAATACTAATCTCACATTTTTTTCATTGCTAAGAAAAAATATTAACCAGTTTTATTAGTTAGATTAATTTAATCTAACTAAATCCACTTTAGTTTTCTTATATGTAAATGAAAACTCTGAGAGAGATGGGCAGTTAAGAAATATGAAGTATAAATAAAAATGTACTGCGGACTAAAAGGAAATCTCATTTTGATAAATATATAAAACTAGAATTTCTCATAACTCTTCTAATATGTTGCTGATGTTACTGGAGTTAAAAGGAACATCCTAAATTTGAGATTATCTCCCCTCAAGGATGATTAAACACACTCCATACATATCCTCCTGTAGGTACAGAAACCATCCGGGTGATTTTGGGTCAGTTTCATCCCTAGACTGGAAAGTTCAAAAATATCTATTTATTAATCTGTATTGGGTTAGTGTGGTGGATTATCATCCATAACCTTCATTGAAGTAGCCTGCATCCTGCAGTGGATTGATTTAGGCTGATAATATCTATCTCTACCTTCATCTTTCTCTCAACAAACCAAAATACTTGTGTGTTCATGTCAACTTTAAGGTTCTTAATCACAGATGAAATCAATCCTGGAGACTGTTCAGCAGTGTTGTATATAGCCATATGTACACCCAAGTCACTCTCTTATTTTTGGCCAGATTTTTCTGTTTTCCAAGAATGAGAATTGCTCACTCACCAGATAATGAACAATCCAATTAACAGATCATCAGTTGGGTGGGAGGAATAACTTGTTTTCCTTTTGAATTAATGTAGGTTTAAACAGTTAATTAGATTATTATTAATAATCAATAGGGATAATAATAATACCTTTAATAAACCCTTCTTTAAAACTGAATACCATGCCCTTTATCATCATTGCAATAAAAAGAAAAAGTGCTTACTGCTACTGATGTCTTAGACTTCTCTTCATTTTCTATTCCTTCCCTATCTCCAGCATGCTCCCTTCCCTTATACCAAGAAGGATAGGAAGTAATGGAGAATTAATGGGAAAGAAAAAAATTATTATACTGGAAAACACAATATCAACTTTGAACTGAACCTGGCAGAACCATCTTTCTGTTCCTCAGTTGCCACACAGAGGGGGAAGGAGGCTGGGATGCATTACTAGACACAACAAAGAGCTTTCTCATGAGAACCAAGGTCATCTCTACCATCAACCGATAAGGTTGGGGAAGGAGTGCCTGAAGAGCCCACCAATTAATCCAATTGGCCAATGTGACCAGTGACACTTGAGGATGGGGTTATTTCCTAGTTTAATTATACTGTAACTGCGGGAAAGATTTAGATTTGGTTTTCCTTTGAAGCTGTGCCCATATGATGTACTCATTAAAAGAAGACCTTTGAGAAGGAGTTAAGTCTCAGAGTTCTGATTTGCTTGGGTTCATTAGTTGGAGCCTTCACATACATATCTTTCAGTTGAGAGAGATCTCTGGATGTACCCCAGTCATGTTGGAACTCAGCACTTGATATATAGTGACAAAACTGACTGAAAAAAAATCAGTTTAGCACTTTTAGTTATATGGGGAACTAGATGAAAGTTTCTCCCTCTCTTTCTCTCTCTCTCTCTGTATAGTACAAATACAAAGAGGCATACCGTAAGCAGCTTGGTCACCACATTGGAGCTCGTAGTATAGAAGATGATCCTAAAATGTTGCATTCTATAAATGTAGCCAAGATGCAGAGTGAGAGGGAATATAAGAAAGTTTTTGAGAAGCTGAAGACCAAATATAGCAGTCCTGTGGATATGCTGTCAGTCTTGGGAGCAAAGAATTGCCAGAAACTGGTCAGCGATATCGATTACCGTAATTATTTGCACCAGTGGACATGCCTCCCAGATCAAAATGATGTCATCCATGCCAGGAAAACGTATGATCTTCAAAGTGATGTAAGTGGCATTTTAGCAACTTTGCAAATGTAAAGCCATGCTTAATAGAAGCTAACCACCTTCTTCTGCTCAGTGTTAGCTGTGCTCTAAGAAAAAACATTATGAATCACTCAGTTTGTTTGAATGAGTTTCACTGTTACATTGTTTCTCAAGATTTAGAGATGTTTTAAGAAGCAGTAACATTCATAAAATGTTGAATAATAAAACAGAAAAACTAATAACTTTTCCTTCCTTCAGATTAATTATAAATCAGACCTTGAGTGGCTCAGAGGTGTTGGCTGGTCTCCTAGTGGTTCTCTGGAAGCCGAGAAGAATAAGAGAGCTTCTGAGATCTTGAGTGACCATAGATATAGGCAGCACCCTGACACTTTTGCTTTTACCAGCCCTATTGATTCCTTACCTATGGCTTTGGCAAAACATAACTCTGAAATTATGAATCAGGTAAGTTTTGTCTATGATCCTTTCTTAAATACATACACACACAGAGACACCCTACACTTTGATAGAATAATATTTTCTGTAATAAGACTGCAAAGTAAGTTATAAACTTGTTCTACTGAAGTTTTAAACATGCATATCAGTATATAATACACCTTAAAGATGCATCATTGACTTCCATTTGCTCTTTAGAATTGAAGAGAAAGTTCAGAAGACACAGCAAAGCATTCCTCATCTTAGGCCAAAATATGTTCTCTAGAACAGTATAAGAGCTTAGTAGAACTCATCAGAAATGGCCTTGGAAACCTATCAAATACATTATTGATTAATTCTTGATGAAGAAATTCCTTGCTAAAGAGATTAGGTTTTTATTTATGCAACAAGATTGTCACAAATATTGAATCTATTTATATTCATCTTATTTCCAACTCTGGATTTAAAAATGAATAAGTTAAAAATTAAGTAATACTTTCTCATCAATTTTTGGATCTAACACAATCGTATATTCTTGACTGCTTTCTGTATTCTGTAATTATAATGATGGTATTAACAATATAAAATGGGTTTCATAATTTCCATCCACAACACATAATTAGAATATATTTCAGTTTTAATAGCCATTATATTGATTATTTTATTGTGCTTTTTTTAAGCGTACATATGTTGATGCTTGGAATAAAGATAAAACCAGCATTCATATTATGCCTGATACACCTGAAATTCTACTGTCACAACAGAACAAAATCAACTACAGTGATGTAAGTGGATTTATGTTTGTCAAACCTATGAGAAGGGATGGGGAAAAAATGCCCTCAAAAACACTAAAGCAATACTTGTCATCCATTTAGAAACTGTACAAACTGTCATTGGAAGAGGCCAAGAAGAAAGGGTGTGATCTTCGGATAGATGCAATTCCTATCAAGGCTGCTAAAGCATCCAGAGATATTGCAAGTGAGGTATGTAATTACATGATATGACACAAACCACAGATTTTTATCTGATTGCAATGTTACTTATAATTTTAGACTTTTCCTTTACAGCAAGAATTGGATTCTTTTGAGGCTTGGTTGATTATGCTAATTTTTTGCGACTGCTATAAGTGTTCAGGATATATTTAAATGGACTATCATAAATAGTTTTCCTTGGAAGTATTGATAGTGTAGAAATTTAATTTTTCAGCCAAAATAACTACAAAGATAAATGGAGCATATCTTCACTGCCCTGATTCAATTACTCCATGGTTTTTCATTCTCTCTCTGTGGATATATATTAGAGACTAGTAATAGCAACCTAGGCAATGAAATGAAGGTATAAAACATTGGAATTAATTATATTTTCTCCTTGTAAATTTATCAAAGATTGAAATAGTAAACATGAATCCAAATCCACATATAAAAATGTAAGTGGTTTGTATGACATTGTAGATATTACAATACTTGATTTAAACTCTTCTAGATCTTAGGGGACCCAAGGTAAGTAAACATTATGTTTTAAACTTCTTGTTATTGTTATCAACAGTACAAATACAAAGAAGGTTATCGCAAGCAACTCGGCCATCATATTGGAGCTCGTAGTATAGAAGACGATCCCAAAATGTTGCATTCTATAAATGTGGCCAAGATGCAGAGTGAGAGGGAATACAAGAAAGTTTTTGAGAAGCTGAAGACCAAATACAGCAGTCCTGTAGATATGCTGTCAGTCTTGGGAGCAAAGAATTGCCAGAAGCTAGTCAGCGATATTGACTACCGTAATTATTTGCACCAATGGACATGCCTCCCAGACCAAAATGATGTCATCCATGCCAGGAAGGCCTATGAACTGCAGAGTGACGTAAGTTGTGATGGCTTTTAACTTCACTGGAACTGATTTGTGAGAACAAATTTCTTGAGTTTTGGAAAAGTCACCAAGAATTGGTTCATTAAAATATGGTTACGTTGGAAAATATTTCTAAAAATACATGAAGAAGCACTCAGTAATATTTGTACTTCCAAAATTCAGTCCCTTTACTGACTTTTGATATTACTTAAATTGAAGTCAGAAAATTAATAGAACCTTAACATTAAGGGTGTGCAGTATCCAAGTGGTTAAGATGCTGGGCTTATTGACTGGAAAGTTGGAAGTTCCAGGCTAAATACTGCATGAGGGAGTGAGCTTCTATTACTTGCCCCATCTTACCAACCTAGCAGTTTGAAAGCATGTAAATGCAAGCAGACTAATAGGCACCACTTTGGTGGGAAAGTAACAGGGTTCCATGTTCCTTCAGTGTATATTCATGCCAGTCATATGACAATGGAGGCATCTTCAGACAATGCTGGCTCTTTGGCTTTAAATTGGAGATGAGCATCTTCCCCTAAAGTTGGAAATGGCTGGCAGGGAAAACATTTACCTTTTTTTTAACCTTTCATATGGAAATATGGAAGAGTCTAACTAGGGCCCCCAACATGACACCTGGCATATGCTGCAAGGTTCCCTGATTCTTTTAACATTTGTACTAAAAACACATTATTTAAGTTTAAAAATAATGAGACGCTAGTGGAGAGAAACATGCTTTCCAAAAATGCTTCAGAGTATCTGATCAATTTGCAATTTAAGAGAGGGAATTTTTCTTTCGTGGCTATTTTTCTTTTGCTTTGATGTCAAAAGACATTCACAGTAGTAACTGTGTGTGATTACAACATTGTCTCAATGTTTCAAATCTGAACATCAGCCTAACACAGTTGGGGATCAAAAGTCTAACATAAGGTTAGTGTTATAAATACATAAATGAAGTATTATTATTAAAGACATTTGTCATTACAAGGTTGTGAGGAGGTGATGGGATGTATTTTAAAGGAAGTATAAACATAGCTGTTGTGTTAACATACACAGTAGTGAGTTTCAATTTATAAGCTATCTTAAAAGAGAAGAAATAAAATTCAATTATTAACGCACTTAATTGGGGACCATAAAAATTATAAGGCCAATGAACTTGGTGTAGCGCATAGGATCAAAGACAAAACTTTGGGCTGTTAAACCTTCAGTTTTGTCTAAGTGCCCTTTTTAATGTTCTGCTTCACAGAATTACTACAAGACTGATCTTCAATGGTTGAAAGGCATTGGGTGGGTCCCTATTGGTTCCTTGGAGAATGAAAAAGTCAAGAAAGCTGGAGAAATCCTAAGTGAAAAGTTGTATCGTCAGCCTCCAGACAAATTCAAGTTTACGAGTGTGACAGATTCTCTAGAAATACTTTTGGCCAAGCATAATGCAGAAAATATGAATAAGGTGAGCACCGATGGCTTGATTTAAATATGTAACTATTAAAATGACATTTGTGCAAGAAGCTTAAGCGATTGAATGTAATAATTAATATGGCAGTTTTAAACTTTGTACCCGCCTTTTGTTTAATATAAATATTATTTGTAATACTTTAATTGTATATAATTAAATAATATGCATATTATTCATATGCATTTATCATTCTACTATGAATATTATTCACATGTATTTGTCATTCTTTTTTCTATAAAGAATATTTTTGAACGTAAAGGGACTACTGCATCCTTTCGATCCTAGAATTTTTTTATTTGATACTAGAATTAAAAGAATAGTTTATTTAAGTCCTTATTACTAAAAACCTGCAATGCTTCTATTTAAGCAATACTGCAAATACATCAAACTAGTCTTAAAGAAGTATCATATTTCAAGACATATGAAATCCGACAGGCACAGCATTTGTTAAATACAAGACTTTTATGCTGTTAATGGCTAAATGTCTTTATAAAATCAATAATGTACTGCCTCATTTTTCTTTGATAGACTTTAGAACTAAGAAATGCTTTCTGATGTAATCTGCACTAATTATCAACACAGAACTGTGAAATGGGATGAAGGATGTGTGAAAGATGACAGCCGCAACTGTGGGACGGCAAACTTGCCTTTTTTTGTATGCATTAGAACTTAGAATTTAGAATAACAGAGTTGGAAGGGACCTTGTAGGTCATCCAACCTGATCTCCTACTCAAGCAGGAGACTCTATACCAGAGGTCCCCAAACCTGGCAACTTTAAGACTTGTGCACTTCAACTCCCATTCTGGCTGGAGAATTTTGGGACTTGAAGTCCACAAGTCTTAAAGTTGCTAAGTTTGGGGACCTCTGCTCTATACCATTTCTGATGTGGCTGTCCAGTCTCATCTTGAAAGTCTTCAGTGATGAAGCACCCCAGCAGTGGGATTCTCTTATCTTCCCTATTGGTTCGCAAATGTGAGCACTGCTACCAGTTCGTCCGAACTGGAGAGAACCAGCTGAATACCACTTCTGAAGCACCCACAACTTCTGAAGGCAAGCTGAAGTTGCCTTCAGAAGTTCAGACATTGCATTGCTCATGCAGGGTACACAGAAAGAGGCAGGATTTTGATTGCACATTGGGGCTGTCATCTTGACTTTTTTTTTTTGACATCCTCTGAGAAGCCCTGCTTGGTGATGATATTTCTACTTGAGCTTTCAGAGCAAAACAATGGGATTAGAGAAGAACCCAAGTTGATTTCATTCCAATGCCTGTTTTATTTTCTTCCTTGTCCTCTTTTCACAGCGATTGTACACTGAAGCTTGGAATAAAGACAAGACAGAAATTCACATAATGCCTGATACCCCTGAAATCACTTTAGCAAGACAGAACAAGATCAACTACAGTGAGGTGAGGTCATTGGATTGAAGTCCAGCCCCGGGACCAATTGCAGCCTGTTTTCCCATTTCGAGCAGCCCGCGGCCTCTTTTCCCCGCCAGAGTTATTTGCTTAGTCTTTCATAAAATAGTTCATTTGCATTTAATGTTAATGGTTCAAGGAATGGTCAGCCCCACACATTTTCACCTTACCAAATCAGGCCCTCTTTGCAAAAAGTTTGGACACCCCTGCTCTACATGAAGATGGTTCTCTGGGAGAAGATAACTGATCTCTGAGGAAGAGTGGATCATTAGTTGCAAGTAGGGTACAGGACTGAGGGCAGAGGGAGAAAGGCTAGTAAGAAAGGACAGATGTGGTGGGGGAAGAGAGAAAGGTCCGTGGGAATCCATGTCATAGTTCCAATATTTGTTCTCACTAGTAGTCTAAAAGAGCATACACAGTGTATGATCTACTAAAGCTATGGGCATGAACCTCAGTCCCAAAAATTACTGTTAAGTTGTAATGTCTAATGCACAGGCAAGGAGAGTGATGACATACTTTGGTGTTTTATATCTGAACTAAACATTCCTGGTTTCCTTTCTTACTAAAATAATTTTGAAGAAGTTATTTAGTAAAAATTGCTAGATTTTTACATTGATTGTTAGACTCAGTCTGTCTCCCTCTATTATGGAATTATTTATCGATAGGTAAGAACTATAAATATTAACATTTTCTTTTTCTCTTTTTATAAAGAGTTTATATAAACTTTCCTTGGAAGAGGCAAAGAAGAAGGGGTACGACTTGCGAATCGATGCAATTTCAATTCAGGCTGCCAAGGCATCCAGAATTATTGCTAGTGATGTAAGTCTTTATTTTTGTGGGAGAAAAATGAGTTCTTCAGTAGTTTTTGTTTTAAAAAATGTGAATTTCCTACCCTGAGGAACTTAAAATAAACCTGCAGTTCAAAACTTAAAATCAGAGAGTATTGCAATTAAGAAAACATTCTGTCTCTGATAGGAACTCTTAAAAAGCAGCCTGGCTTAAAAAGCAGCCTGGCTAAGCTCAGCCACCTCAGTTTAGCTGAATGTCTCAATAGAGTTTATGAACAGATTGGTCACAGATTTTTTTAAAAATGGAAAGTTTCTCCAAAGGAACAGGAGTTATGTCAGTTCATGCTAGTTTTGGAAGCTATTAGATGCCAAATTTTCTTGGTTAGTGAAACAAAGTGTAGTTCCTACAGAGCTATAGAATTAGCTTCTCAGCCAAATGGAACAGATTTTAACTTCAGGCAAAAAAGGGGCAACCTTTCTAGCATTATATTCTTTAATTTGAAGTATCTTTTAATATTTGATTATAAACTGTCAGTTGCAGTTCTTCAAGGAGTTAATATTGGCAATAATGTTGAATAGCTTAACTTTGCAAATTTTAACTTTGCCATTATAGTTCAGGCACCAAAAAGAAACATAAAAATATGTCTTACTGTATGCTTGTCCGTTTATTTCAGTATAAATACAAAGAAGGTTATCGCAAGCAACTGGGCCATCACATTGGGGCTCGTAGTGTGGAAGATGATCCTAAAATGTTGCATTCTATAAATGTAGCCAAGATGCAAAGTGAGAGGGAATACAAGAAAGACTTTGAGACAGGGAAGACCAAATATAGCACCCCTGTGGATACGTTGTCGATCTTGGGGGCCAAGAATTGCCAGAAACTGGTCAGCGAGATTGATTATCGCAATTACTTGCACCAGTGGACATGTCTACCAGACCAGAATGATGTCATCCATGCTAGGAAAGTTTATGATTTGCAGAGCGATGTGAGTATAATTTTGTTTTGGACCATACCAGTTGAAAGAGGGGCGATCACAGTGTCTCTGGCACATTTCTGCCACGTGTACAAAATACCGATAGTAGTGGCATTTAATTGTTTAATCCATATTGTTATATGGATGAACTGGGATGACTCTTCACCTAGTCTGATGTATTACTCCAGGGTCTTTTGTTTTTCTGAAGGTGCACATTAGAGAGTTAAACATGACTCTGTAGAACCATGAAACAAGTGTTATTAGTGTCTTCTAAACTTTTGATGTTGTTTTATCCCAAATGATAATCTTCTTCACATACTCATGGGACATATGCTTGAGTTTTATCCAGAACAGGGGACATTATTTTACTGGATAAGGAATCTCCTGAAAATGAATTATATCTTGCACCTTTTTCATGGTTTTCAAGGTTTTTTGTTTGTTTTTACATTTCTCTCATTAGCAGAAATATAATGTGCCATAAGTGTCATTAGATTCAATTGTTTTTCCAGAAAGTACAAAATACCTTTCTAATAAATTTTTACTTCACAGAATTGCTACAAAACAGACCTTGAGTGGATAAAAGGCATCGGCTGGGTCCCTATTGGTTCACTGGATGTTGAGCGTGCTAAGAAAGCAGGAGAGATCCTGAGTGAAAAGACGTACCGTCAACCTCCAGAGAATTTCAAATTCACCAGTGTGACAGATTCTCTAGAAATGGAATTGGCCAGGCATAATGCTGAAACCATGAACAAGGTGAATTCTGGCTACGCAACTGGCAAATTAGCTTTTATAATCATTGGAAATAGTCTTTGGTGTGATTCTAAATACAATTCAGAGTCAAAATTACCCTCAGGTTTTTTCCAGTACCATAGATTTTTGTTCTGTAATTAGGTAAATAAAATAATATGACTATAAAAGTATTAATTCTTGCTGGACAAAGTAGACAGTTTATATTGCACATGAAGCATAAGATGGTTATGACTTTTATATAGTTTTCTGCTACAAAGAAACACCTTCCTGGTGTTTTTAACTTCCTATTTTGTTTGAATGTCAATTTCCAGAGTTTTCAGACAAGATATTAATTATGAGATTAATTTGTAAATCTCAGGGATTACAATGTCTTTGAATCACAACTGATTAAAAGAATAATATAATTAATTCTTAATTAAACACAGGTTTTCCTAAGATATAATAGCATAATGGTTCCCTTCGCATATATGTGCTAGTCGTTCCCAACTCTAGGGGGCGGTGCTCATCTCCATTTCTAAGTTGAAGAACCAGTGCTGTCCAAAGACATCTCCGTGGTCATGTGGCCGGCATGACTAAACACCGAAGGCGCACGGAAGACTGTTATCTTCCCACCAAAGGTGGTCCCTATTTTTCCACTTGTGCTTTTTACATTCTTTCGAACTGCTAGGTTGGCAGAAGTTGGGACAAGTAACGGGAGCTCACTCCGTTACAAGGAAATAGGGATTTGAACCGTTGAACTGCCGACCTTTCTGATCAACAAGTTTAGCATCTTAGTCACTGAACCACCCCATTCCTCCTATAATACTGTATTTCCCCCCAAATAAGACCTAACCGGAAAATAAGCCATAGCATGATTCAAGATTCTCATAATTTAACCCCTATCCCCAAATAAGCCCCAGTTAAGATTGTCAATAGACAGAAGTACTTACCATATTTCCCTGAAAATAAACCCTAATGCATCTTTTGGAGCAAAAATTAGTATAAGACCTGGTATTATTTTCCTACAAAATTATACAATGTACGGTGACAAAATAATGAATTTAATTTTTTGCAAATTTTTAAATTTAATTGCAAAGGAAAATAGCATAAATAGTTAGAAGACTAATAAATAACCATCACTTTGTGCTAACTCTCTTTCTGACTCTGTTCTGCAGAGGCTGTATACTAAAGCTTGGGATAGTGATAAACTCACAATCCATGTTATGCCTGATACGCCGGAAATTGTCCTCGCGAAGTCCAACAAATTAAACTATAGCCAGGTGAGTATAAGGATGAATAAGAGACACTAGAAGACTGGGTCTCTTTCAAGGACTTGCAAGCAATGGCAACATTTACTGCAAGGCTTGGGGCAGGAGTGGATTCCGGCTACTGCTACTGCCAGTTTGCTCAGGGATGGGCTGCGCACACGCTTCACACATGTCTACACATGTGCAGTACTAAAAAAATGTACCAAAAACAAGATGGTGCCACCTACGGCGCCACCGAGAGAATTGGCCAAACTGGTCCGAACCGGTAGTAGCCACCTCTGGCTTGGAGTCTTAATTAGATTGTGTGGGAATCCAGTTTCCTAACTTGCACCAGAACGTCCATCTAACATATCTGTTAAGGTGTAGGATGTTTTCTTTATTTCCAAGTGTAGCAGGACAAAAAAACCCCTGCATTGCACTAAAACCAAACATTTCTTTTTTACAGAAATTGTACCGATTGGCCATGGAGGATGCAAAGAAGGATGGCTATGACCTGCGTCTTGATGCCATCCCAATTCAAGCTGCCAAGGCTTCAAGAGCTATTGCCAGTGATGTAAGTGTCTACCTGAGTCCATTAATAGCAATGATTTTTAAAGAAAATGTTTTGAAAACCAGCTGCTTGGCTCCATAAATATCAGTGATTTTTAAAGTACACTTTTTGAAAAAAACAGCAAATCACTTGGTGCAATTTAAGCTGCTGGTTGCTATCTATAAAGCCATACATGGCATAGGGTCTGGTTACTTGAGGAACCATCTGATTCCCATAGTATCTGTCCAAGCAGTTTTATCTGGTAGGGTTGATGCACTCCTGGTTCCATTGATTTAGCAATGCCATTTATTGGGATCCTGGAAGTAGAACCTGCCCTCTGGAAAATGATTCCCCTGATATTTGAACATCTCCAATCCTACTAGATTTTGGAGGTCCTTAAAGATTTGGTACTTCACCCAGGCTTTTAGAGAGGATGATGATGCCTGTTTATTTTTTTAAAAAATAAATATTTATTTT